ATGCTATGGGTTGCACTAACTCCGGAATATGGCATTCGAGCCATATTGTACAGAGCAGATCTGCCTCGAGATCTTGGGGTGACAAAACCATTTTCAATAACATCAAAATTTCCAGGAGATCTCGGCACAAGAGTTAAAGCAGAGGATTTCGAGAGATTTTCTGAAGCAAAATTATCCCTGAACTTGTGACTATGGGACGCCATACTCAACGGAGTTGCTTTTGGAGGCCTGCTGCCCATGAACGCTTTTGCAATCTCTGCAGGTGAAGCAACATCCTCATCAAGGACCTGAAACAATTATACAAGTGACAATAAAGCCAAAAATGCAAACAAAGTTTTCAGTGTCAGCAAACTATGGAAAACCAGCACTAAACATTAACCAACGCAGAAACCAAACCAACAAAAAAATTAAAATAAATAAAATAATTCCTACATTTGCTCTCATAACTTGAGTTGGAACCACGTGAGAGCTAATTCCATCTTGAGCTCGAAATTTTGGAGATCCTTCCTGTATTTCATAACTGATAACAGGCGTAGAAGAGGCATGTTCAAATTTCCTCTCTTCAACCCCACTTGGAACATCAACAACTCTTGATTTCAAAAGTTCAGTCAAGCGATCGATCTCAAATCTGTAGAGTGGTTAGCATTTGACATATTAAATATCAAATCAATATCATGCTAAAAACAATATATAAAAAATACACCCAGATTTTCTATCCTAATGGAGAAAAAATGACATGGTATTTTGTAACAACATTGTGGCTTATACATTTCATGCAAGAGCATTCATACTACATAATTTCTAACATGTTTTAAGTTACTAATTACAATATAACCATGTTCAAATTTCCATATAATTCACTCAATTAAATATCAACCAAAACAAGGCAACTCTTCATATAGAAATGAGATAGGAGAAAAAAAATAATTTGACCAACAAACACTCAAATACTTGCCTTGTAAAGGTCTTCTCCTTCAAAATTTGCTCAAGGTCAGTCACCCCATGTGTGTTATCAGTTTTGATACTCGGACCAAAATCGCAGTTCCCTTCTTGAGTTCCAGAAAGATCCTAAAGATTAATAAAAAATTCAGAAAATGTTAAGACATAAAAATTCAGACTGTAGAAACGCAAAAATATCAGATTTTTGTGGAACTGATTTTTGCATGCAGTTTCACCTCAACAGATACGGAAATTAATGCATTCATGAAAATAAAATAGGTCACTCACTAATGCTAACTTTTGGCATCATGTCCTTTTTTTTTTTTTTAACAACATTTTAAAATAGCCTTTTCAATTTGTAAATCAGAAAGAAAAAAGAAAACAATGCAGTTTTTAATTAAAAAAAATCTCACAATATCTGCAATTATGAAAATGTTAAAGCATAACAAAAATATGTACATGGAGAGAGAAAAAACTCAGTGATGATGTAACGGTTTTCAATTAATAACAGAATTGGATTTTTTTTAAAAAAAAAACAAAAAAAGAGTTAATGATAAGCAAAAACCCATATGAGATAAAACTTACAGCTGCAACTTCTTCATGGTTCTCATTTCCCATCTCATCATTAGCCTCTGGAAGTATAAAATGCAAGAACAAAACAGTAAAAGAATAACCAGAAAAGTCAATGCGAAAACTTCAACCAAGCTCCCATGTCAAAAGTTAATGCGAGCACAACAATGTATAGCCCTAAAAACATAATAGAATAATGAAAACATGCTTCCTAAATGGGTATCAACATTGGTATATTTCAAAATCTAAGATGTCACTTTCGTAGAAAAACAAAATTATGAGATCAAGGTTTTAGAACACAGTAGTACACAACCTATATAAAAGGTCATGTTCAAGTAAAGTCGTTGTTACATACTTGGAAACAATTTGCAGTTTTAAATATTAAAATGACGTTACAGCCAACAGAATAAGAAATAGAATTCTGTTGTTTACATGTGTTATTGTAAGCAGTCTTCTCAACCACGGGTGATACATTTTTTATTGATAAATACTAAGAATAACTTACTTTAAACATACTCATTTTTTAGATTAACATTATTAATGGGAAGCAAAAATATCCTATTCAAAGGGTAACAGTAAACAAAATACTGTAAATAAATATATATATATAAACACATATAGAGAACCAAGTGGAGACTAAAAATGTTATGCTTTCCAAAAATCCTTCTGGGGCTCTCAAAACAGATGGTCCAATGGGGGTGGCAGAAACAGCGTTACAAGATCGGACCTTGGACTTGGCCTTGGCTTTGAGCTCAAATACATGAATACATGGACAAAATACATATTTTCACGAAGTTCTTAATAGAAATTAAAACCAATCCTTAAAATTTAGATGCGTGGTCGTTTTAAAAAGTGATAGAAATCACACTCGGGCTACCCTATTGTCTGGAGAACAAATTTTAATATATCTGACATCTAAGCAACGAAAACAAAACAACATTCCAAGCAGACTCAATATTGTTCAACTATTAAGCTTTAGAGAACTTGCAACTCAATATGAGGAATATACAGCAGGGAATCACGCAAATTAATGACATTTAAACAATTGAGCCTCGACAAACCTAAACACTCATACAAAATCATAAATTCAGGTTCCTCTATGCCAAAAAGAAAACCCCACAGCTATAGTACTCCCTCACGAAAAAAGCAAAATATAAAATATAAAAATCCACGTTTTTTTTCAGCCATCTTCAACCAACACCTCCAAAATAAACGAACGAGTACCAGAATGCGAGAAACAAAACCCATAAACCATTCTAACAACCGTTAAGGGAGCATTCCAATTAAAAACCAAAAAACACCAGGAAAACAACAAAAAAAAAAAAAAAAAAAAAAAAAAAA